GGGAAACGTTGGTAAAGGATAACTCACCTTCTGAATGTTTATGTTTGTTCTATACAAATTGTACCCAGGTACGGTCCTGAAGTGAGAGAAAACGGACTCCTATGATGGGGGACACAAGCACTCACACTGACAGACTTGACACTCACTTACATGAGAAGTTTTACCAACCATTAGTTGTGTACGTTATCTAGTGAATTTAGTCAATATTGTACAGTGCAAGTACACTGTAATACAGTGGTCCCTCGGTTAACAATGGACCTAAGTGCAAACCTGTACTGTACATGTACTAAAATTTATGTTTATTGCAAATACAGCTTGTTTATACAGGTATTCAAATAAATCACTATCTTACAAGAATCCCAGCAATGTAAGTTATATTCACCTAGGTCATTTGGGTGGCAAATTATGAGAAGAGCTTAGTCACTCTTAAGGAATGATAAATAAACACGCAGGCCTTCAGCGCCAACTGTCAAATCATATCGCCTCACCCCCTCCCCCGGTTTGAGGCCTTAAGTTTTTCATATAATATCTCAGACTATAGGAGAATATAATTTGCATTGCTGAAATCCTTGCAAGACAGAGATTAATTTAAATATAAACGTCATATATTTTACTCAAAAGATAAAAATTGTAGTACATTAGTGTACAATACTGTAGTACATTTTATAATATAAAGTTTTTCAACTGTATTTTTGGGTAGATTTACATAAATTTCTTCATTTATTTTCATCCATTTACATGCACACACCATACTAAAAGAAACGCAAAAGAAATAAATGACCTCAGTGCAAAGCTGGAGTGCACATGTACTAATTTGATTACGGTACAGGTTGTACCTCTCTAGTCCGGCATTCTGTGGTCCGGAAACTCCCGTGGTCCGGAACGATTTTAGTTTGTCCAATAGGTAGATAGGCAGCTTTTTTTTTGTTCTTTTTTTTTTATTTATCTGAATTATTATTATTATTATTATTATTATTATTATTAGAGGAGTATTAAATTTTTGCCCCTCAGGCCCCAATGTGGGTCAGCGACCTATGCCCGGGTGGGCTAATTCCCTTAAAAAAAAACAAAGCCGCGGGAAATTAAGGTTTGTTTACATCCGGCAGTTCGGCTGCTCTCTCTCTCTCTCTCTGCTTGTCTATACAGAGTACAACATTTAACCCTTCAATATATATATGAGCAGTAAATAAGTGTTGCTTTCATATACTTATGTAGAGTAATGACGATATGTTTTCACATGTGCGCACTTAAATACACGCAGTCTCACTTTTTTTTACCATTAATGGTTAGCTACTTATATTGTACCATTTATTAACATTAAATAACATTACAGGTACTTCAAACAACCATATTAATTTTTTTGCATTAATTTTACTACAGCTAAAATCAGGGTCTTATTTTCTTCAGTTTTATATGTAGAACCAATCAGTCACTGGTTTCGTAAGCTTTAACATAAACAATGCCGGCAGCCGTCTCGTCTCCTCTAATATTCCACGTATTATTAATAAATTGTATTGTTAATTTTGCACACACATACATTAATTCAATAAAACAAATTCAGAAACATTAATTAAAATATATAAGAACAATAAATAAGTGTTGCTTTCATATTCTTATGTAAAGTAATGACGATATGTTCTCATGTGTGCGTATGCGCACTTACATACACGATCTCTCTTTTTTTTTACCATTATCGTTAGCTACTTCTATTGTTCCATTTATTTCCATTTATTAACATTAAATAACATTACTTAAAACAACCATATTAATTTTACTACAGCTACAACCAAAGTCTTATTTTCTTCAGTTTTATATGTAGAACCAGTCAGTCACTGGTTTTGTAATCAACGAAAACAATGCTGTGTCATTTCCTCGTGTGTTTTAATATTCTACGTATTATTAATGAATTGTATTGCTCATTTTGCACACATAAACATAAATTCAATAAAAAAGACATTCAGTAATAAACAATAATGAATCTTTTGTACATAAGAGAAATGACGCTGTTTACACGATTATGCACGTCGTCTGCACGTTGGCGGGCCGTTCAAACCCGTCGAAATTCAAGTTTCCGTAGTCAAAATTTTTATTTATTTTTTTTTTGTGTTCCAATAAAATAATTAAAGAATTAAAAACTCGCGAAATTTGAGAAGCTACTATATGACATTTAACCCATCAATATGTCTTCAAAGAGACCATGATGCAGAGAAAGTGGTGCTAGTGCTTCCAAGCATAAGCACAAGTCACTATCTATCCAGGAAAAGGGTGAATTTGCATGGTCCGGCAATTTCCATGGTCCGGCACCGGTCAGGTCCCGAGGTTGCAGGACTAGAGGTACAACCTGTACCAAAATCTATTACAATAATAAAACTGATACATAGCATTTCATAAAATACAATAGCACATATTTTATGTACAAAACACAGAGCCTCAAACCATCCTCCAGGCAACACGACACAGTTCAGCCAGACAGTCAACCAGCTGACTTAGCATCATATCTTGGATATTTTTCTCATAAGCCTATCAAGGTACAGTAATATAGTTAAAAAAGTGGAATTTTATGAGCTTTCTAAGGGTGGCTTTGCAATTTTAATACATCCAATTATGAGGAGGGTGAGAGAGGAAATAAAGACAAATGTGACCTACCAGTATGACTGACAGGAGGAAACTGATGGTCAGCGGAATCCCACCCATACTTTGGTACTTTCTGCAAGCTTCCCTCATAAGATGATGCTATCATCTATCATGCAAGAAAATTTTATGTAAATATCTTGAAAACCTATTTTTTTTTTAAGTTTAGCGATGCGATTCGCGTAACTGATGCAAATAGTGCAACCCAATGATTTTACGTGATTTGCGTCACATTGTGAGAGGGTTAATGACTTCACTGAAAAGAAAAAATTTAGTTTTTCTCTCTCTCTCACATGCACACACACAGGCAAAAATATCTTACCTCTCCTTGCTTTAAGATGAGATCTTCCTCAACCTTGTCTTTTTCCAATTTTGTCCTCTTCAGTAATTGCTGTTGATTCTCCTCCCCCTCCAATCTCCCTGAAGGACAGGTAGTCTGACAAGAGCCTTTTGTACTGCTAAAAGTTCCTCCAGTTCCTTTCATAGGGATAGAATTATATACCTTGCCTGAAACATGAAGTAATCTTCCAGCTCCTGAGATAGCTTTTTGTGAAGTATTACATGGAATGATGAAGTCATTGAACCTGCTACTATAGCTGTTATTTGTTGGAGTACCTGGTTTATTCGCGAATGTTCCTGCATTTTTTATTTTGCTAGACAAGAGGCTTGCAGTATTTTTACTGTTGCATTTTATGCTTGAAAACCCACTGTCATCAAAAGTATTTGTTGGATTATTGTGGTAATTTCTGGTGGTAATACTTTTGGAATAATCTTTCCCAGCTGTTTCAGGATTTGGGCTTTTCTTGTGATCCAAAATATTTTCATTCTGAGAAAGTCGAGAACACATCTGCGTGGCAAGAACCATGCACTCCTCCACTGCACTTTCATCAAGTTCTTCCCATTCATCATCATCCATTATTCTCAACTCTGCTTCTCTGGAAGAAAATTGCACCAAATGAATATCCCTGAATGTTCTAAAAATTATCTTTCTATCTAACTGTGTTACATATAATTTACTGTACATCCATCAAGTTGTTATTTACTGTATTACCACCATATAAAATCATCCTGCATCTTATATGCCAAAGGTTAACCCTAGGGGTATGCAGTCACCAATACTGAACTAAAATCAAGACTATATTTGACTCACTGATTCCCAGATGACCCCAGGATGAAATAATGTATAATTATCATATATTAAACAGGGAAACATAAATAAAATGTAGGCATTAGGTTATAGGTACGTGAGTGTTGTCACAACACTGCTATTACTTATCATGTAGCTCAGTGGTGTCAAACTCAATACCTTTCGAGGGCCAATTCTTATTTTAGTTACCTTCTTCAGGGCCAACACAAGTGCTTATATCACATATTTGCAGGAATACCTCATTTGGGTTTGTCCGGTCTTAAGTACGTACTGTATGTGAAATTCATTTTACTTAATAAACATGATTAATGCTATTAATAAGATAGCAAAAGGCTGTATATGCATTATTTGGGGCTACAATTTATCATAGAATTTCATTTGTGTTTTGAAATGTAAGAGCTCAATCTTGTTATGACAGTTGCGTTATGTACATGCAGAACAAGAACTGTCATGCAACTCACAACTTTGACCTCATTTTCCACTCCATTGCAAGCATTTTTCTTCCACAAGTTTTTCTATATTTGGCTCTAAGTCGGAGGATGGCATCCAAGTGCTTATCAGTAATACGGGTTCGGGACTTCATACCTAATTCTATCATAATTTCACGGGCTGATAAATTTTACCGTCATCCCGCAGGCCACACCTGACCATCCCAAGGGCCACATTTGGCCCACAGGCCATGAGTTTGACACCCCTGATAGCTAGTGGCACCTCCCAAACTCTTCCAATATTGCAAGTCCTGCAATGCTATCTCAAATAATACGAGTGAATTCCTCTCATTAACACCTCACAAGGATCCACCAGTTGGCCTAAAGTTACGGAAATTCGCTCTAACGGATTTTGTAAATTATGACCAATAAATTAGGGCTACAGACAAAAAATTCGCCCTTATGGAAATTGGGTAAATTTTAATTTTTTTTCTTCAATACTGTCCTTCAGTCAACCCTCGCTTTAAGCGGTCCCACTTTACGCGTTTACGCGGTACCCTGCCAAACACGGAATGCTCACTTTCCGCGGTGTGTGTACCCTTTTACGCGGAGAGCGGCGCGAGCAGGGTGCGCACAAGGTCGCCCAGTCATCAAAACATTACCGAGTTCTTCACCAGCCACCCACCACAGCCGGCCCAAGTCAGTGATAATGATAGTGAGGATATGGACTTATATGGACTTTGAGGGGTTTGACAATGAGGCCCTGCAAGCCTCTGTGGTGGATAGTGATACAATTGATACAAGTGATACAGGTGAGGGCCAATAATCTGCCCTCTGCCTCGGAACCAACCCCCCATCCCCGTGTGCCCAGCCATCTTTTCTACTAATAAGTTTTTTTTTTTTACAGGAATTAGCCAACCCGGGCACAGGTCAAACGAACCACAACGGAGCCTGGGGGCGAAAAAAAAGAACGGAAAGAAATTGAAAATATAGAAAAAAAGGTTATACTGTATTAATCTACACCACGAAGATGCCGGAAAACCAGCTTTATAAAGTGAGACAGATTGTAAGAGCATGGAAACACAGAAGAAGGCAAAGCATTCCACAGTTAATTATTAATTATTAATTGTGTGTGCATACCATCATAAAATTAAGAAGTTATTTTTACTACAACGTAGGTATTGTGTCTGAAAAAGTGGAGTTTGGGGGTCGGCCCAGTCTCCAGTTCAATTAATCCCATATGTTATGTTGTTCACTTTACGCGGGCCGCCGTGGGTTCACTGTATTAGAAAAAAATTCACAGAAATTATACAATTTATTTTGTGTGGATTTCTTGGTGGTTGCTACAATACTGTACAGGGCGAGGCAGGAGCCAGTAGTGCCCCCGTCTCCCTCCCAGTAACTGATTGCACCACCTTACCTCATCACCTCACCTAACGCAGCACTCAACATTGTTTGTGGTAAGCTATATTCAAGCGTTTTGTATATTTATTATCATATTATATCATAAAATAATCAATGTGTGTGTTAAAAAAAATTATTTTCATTCATAAATGTGCTTGTATTACGTCTTTTTTCCGGAAATATTTCCTTGGGAACGCATCTCCAATTATAATTATAATGGAAGTCAATGGGAAAATTGGTTTAGCATTACGGAATTTCACGCTACGGACAAATTTTCAAGCACACACACCTTCCGTAACCAGGGAGTTGCCTGTACAGGTAAGGTAACTGCTGCCTGAACTATTCACCTGGTAACAAGACACATGGCAGCTCCCTAAACGACCTTACCCACTTAACCCTACTTGAATTGTTACTGATCATAAACCCTTACAAAGAGTGTACAAGGTAAAAACCCACTCTTAGAGTACAGTACAGTATTGTACAGTGTATACAATACAGGTTGGACCTCGCTAATCCGGGAAGCTTGGGACCAGACCGGTTTTGGATTAGCGAAAATTCTGAACCATCAAAGTCAAGGTTAAAAAAGGAAAATATAATGCATAAAATGTACTATTACAGTACTGTTTAATTTCTCCAGTATAGACAACTTTTCTAAAAGTTTATGTCACATGCTTAGATTTTGCCGCATTACAACCACTTATACTGCTTGCTGGTCTCTTAGGAGGCATATTTAGTGGTAAATTATAATTATTTAAAGGTAAATTATAATTATTTAAAGGTAAAATATTGGCAACAGCCACTAGAAGTGAGCTATGACACCGTCCTGAACCATCGAAGCTGCCGGACTGTCGGGTCCCAAATTAGCGGGGTTCAACCTGTACTAAAAACTGTGTAGATCAGCATAAAATCTTCCCTTAGCTTTCAGTGTTAGCTTTGGTTTCTAATGCCCCATTTTAAGGGCTATGGTTGCTAGAGGAAAATTGAGTTTTCTTTAATTTGCCACAGGTGTTGTAGTTATGGATATCTCGGGTTTCAAACTTAGGGGTTTTGATGTGAATATTGTATTGTATACTGTACAGTATATAAGTCACCCTGAAGTGAAATAAGGTAATAAATTTTATCTTTTTTGTGCATGGATTTACCCAGAGGTGTGCAAAGTACTTAAATTTGTTACTCATGTAAAAGTACAAGTACTGTATTATGAGTTTTGACATAGTTACTGAAGTTGAAGTAAAAGTATCACTTGTGCAATGTACCTAAGAATAAAATAAAGTTGGAAGACTGGGGTAGGATGAGGGGGAGGTCACTGACAGGCACCAGCTTCAACAGACAGGTCACTTGAGGCTGAAGAGTTTGGGAAAAACTGTTATTCTATGTTCCAAATCTTTTCCTCAGTAATACTATATGATAGAAATAACTTTATTTCTATAAATTTTCAATTGGGTTCATTTTTTTAAAATAATCAGTCCTTTAAAATGCAGTAGCCCAAAACCTGCTACCTGCGACTCTCAAAAATTTCAAGCAAATCCACTCCAGAACTATTACAACTGGGCCGAAAGCCTCAACCTTGGCAACTACTGGTATGTTCACGACCGTCTGATATCCAGAGTGAAAAGATGATATGCTAATGCTAAAAATATTCAACTACTCATTATTTGGCAAAAGTATCACATTCCTTGACTCCTTAATAAACTTAAAAACTTTAACCTTACTGTGATCAGCCTGTAGCACTTGTGGTATAGTATTCTGCAGTTTTTATCCCTTAGAGTGTTCTCCAGCAAGATCAACCAATGATGGGAAGATTAATCCACCAGAGTGGTGGTACATTATACATCCACTCTATATTCATAACTGAAAATAATACATATAATTAAGATCACATACTCCAAGGTATTAAATGAATATAATAACTTCAACATATATATAACATGAGACAAATTTAGCTCCTCATCATAAATTTTCTTAGTACGTACTGTATATTTAAGATGATGTATGCAACAGCTGTACGAGCACTTTGTTGATTTTATAATTTTCCACCATCACGAGATGACTGACTAGTCATTTTTATCCCAGAGAGAACATCCATTCTTATCATCAGTCAAAGAACACATATTTCTTCCACCCACTTTAGTGGTACAATTGGAGTACAATTGATTGAGACCCTGGCCCTCACTTCCCTAGCAGTGAAGTAATCACGCCCCTCATTCCCACCTTCAAGGAGATGTGAGGGTTCCCACACTACAAAGTGACCAAAAATTAAAACTTCAAGACAGGTTATATGGCAAATAAAAAGGGGGATTCTGAAAAATTATTTTTTTCACAAAACAAAGAGCCAAGTGGCTGTCGTAATATAGGCTTCTTACTTGGAGATCACAGGTCTCTCTACTGACCCTCATAATTCTAGTCAGGGTTGATCTGCTAACCTATTTTGGGTGTACAATCACAGACAAAAGTTCATTCCTATGGTGAAACTGAGTCATGGGAATGAGTCTCCGAACTAGCTTACCCTGACTTTCATTTGGTTGGTGCGGTTGTGATGTTTTACCTTGTTTGAGGTTGATGACGCTTCATTTTGGAGGGAGCAAACTTTTGACCCCAACTGTACCAACCACACTTCCCTCATCATACCCATTTCCCCTAAATGGAGGAGTTCAGGCACAACAGTTACCTTCATAAGAAGGGAAGTCAATAAAATTTACTCAATATATTGACAACAATAATTTGTCAAAATCCGTCTGCTACTAATGGCGTGATAATATTGTTCAATGATCAGTTGCGGTCTTATTGTTGACACATGAAGTTCTGCATCACCAACCATGAATATTGACAGTGACGCTTGTATAGCTCTTGCTCTCGCAGTTTCGCTATGCAAGGATAAGCAAACAAGGTACAAACTTGTTGGACAAAAAAATGGCTGAAGAAGCAGATTATTACACTCATAAGAATCTTTTAACTGAATTGCGATGCAATAAGCCAGCCGACAACAATAATTTCCTGTGAATGGATGGAGAATATTACAACAAATTACTGCCAATGGTTATACCACTCATTTTAAAACAAAATACAGTGAAGCGAGAAGCTATTCCTCTAAGTCAGCGGCTATCAATAACTTTGTGGTACCTGGCCACTGGAAACACATATGAGGACCTGAAATTCATAAGTGCTATATCGCCAAAATCAATAGGCCAAATGGTGTCGAAAGATTATATACAGGTAAGGATACAAATATCTATAGTTTAAAAAAAAGTCAAGATCCCTGGGTCCCAAACTATAAATGGAAATTAAAATCTGAATAAATCCCAATATTAGATCATCCTTTCATAATGGAGTCCCAAAGGATATCCACTGGGAACACAAACATGATTTCATCAGATAGATAACAGGCACAAAAAGCATCTTTATTTTCATAAACAGGAATTTTTTGATGATTTTAAGAGATACAAATTTCATATTGTAGGTTGGGTTAGGTTTTGTAGATTAGGGGTAAAATTACAGTTTCATTACCAATTGGTTTTTGACCAGAAATGTAAGTACTGTATATCCAATAGTATTTGGTGTGATTCATTCAAATTTAGCCTTCATTTCTGTCGGAAAAGAGTCATTTTATATTTATCACTCCCCCCATCTCTCCAACAAATGACAAATTTTCACTTGTTACCACTATATACGAAATTGAAGTTGAAACTATGTTTTTCCGGTGGTTTTTGATGTGTTATGAACGAATTTGACCTTCATATCTGATGCAAATCAATAGTTTCTGAGATAAGTCCCCTATATCAGAAACTAAAGAACATTGAACGACTGTGGAGCTCCCCAGTTAGGTGAAGTTAGGTTAGTTTATATATTAGGTTAGGTTAGATTAGATTACATAAGGTTAGGTTAGGTTGGTTAGAGTCTTGTTTTTCTGATGGGTTTCGATGGGTTTTGAACACTTTTAATCTTGATTTTTATAGCAAATCTATAGATTCTGAGATGGGGGGCTTATCTCAGAAACTATTGATTTGGGGTCAAATTTGTTCACAACACATCAAAAAACATCGGAAAACACAGTTTTAATTTTGATTTACTATAGTGGTAACAAGTGAAATTTTATCAAATTTTCATACATAATAAAATGTCAAATATCTCACTTATACGTAATTTGTATCAGAAATGCCATGGAAGGAAAATTTCTTAGAATTGTCAAAACTACTGATTGCAACTTTAAACTTCCCAAGTTTCGTTTAGTTGCAACAAGTGAAATAATACCCAACAATCTTGGGGGTGAAACTGCAATATTTTGTGTTCGGAAGAAATCACAGTAAATGTATAGAAAACACTGGTTCCTTGAACCAGCAACAAGACATGGATTTTCTAGCTATCTTTATGATACATTGGTCAATATTTAGAAAATGACACCTGTCAACTGAATACAGTTGGTCCTCATATTACGCGGTCCCGCATTCCGCGTTTCACCGTTAACGCGGTGCCTTGCCAGAACCTAACATTCTTACATTCCGCGAACGCCATTACGCGGAGAGTGTCCGGCGCGACGCTATTTTTAGATTTTCCCCACGCGCCACCCGCCCGCCCGCCTGCCTGCCTCTCCCTCCTCCTCCCTCCGCTTGGGCAAGCGGCGCGGTAAGGTTGCGCAGTGTGTGTCTTTGTTGCGTTATCACTGACGTCATATGACGTATCAGACCTGTGATTGGCCATGCATCCCTACCCTCCTCTGCTGCTAGCTGTAATTGGCTTAAAGTATTATGACGTGTCCACCCGGGGGAGGGAGGGAGGGAGGAAAGACGACGCTTGACCTAGCCGCGGCAGTTTCATCCCTCAAGGCCACTCCGTGTAAAGTTGCATCCTTTGAGGGATTTGTCAGGGAAGCCCTGACAACTGTAAGTGACAGTGATGATGATTCACCTAGTAATGGTGATTCACCTGAGGGCCAGTAATCTGCCCTCTGCCTCGGAACCAGCCTCCATCCCCGTATGCCGACCCATCTCTTCTACTACCGTAAGTGTTACACAAAATTTTTAGTTTTCTAACCTAACCTTTATTTTTCCTATGTTAACCTTTATCTTTCCTAACCTAACCTCTTCTATATTACTTGTTTTTTCATACCATCATAAAGTTAAGATAAATTTTTTACTACAACATAGTTGTGTGTCGTCAAAAAGTGGAGTTTGGGGATCGGCCTGGACTCCATTTCAATTAATCCCATATGTTATGTTGTTCACTTTACGCGTTCCTCACTTTCCGCGGGACCCTCCGGGTTACATTAACCGCGTAATATGAGGACCAACTGTATTGAAAATAGGTTTTTCTAATGTAAATCATCGTGTTAAATACAAATATGACCTTCAATGCCGTCGAAAATGAGCAGTAGTTGAGGTATTGGAAAAAACCTAACCTAACCCACAGGCCAAAGAAACTTAAGTAAGAGATATAGGATGATAAAGTGATGCGACTTGAATGAGGAAGTGGCCGTCAGTGTCCCTCTCTTATCACAGTACCATGCATGGTGATCTACATGGTATTGACACTCTGAATTACATCTCAAGACACTTGACAGATGAAACAAAAACACTGTGAGCCCTAAAAATGACAATGGATGCTGCTTCATTGTCCAAAATGAGCTGAATAATGCAGCACAGACGCCACCTTCCAACTGGCCGCGAATGCTGATTAGCGCACAATTATTACGTCACATCAACACTCACACTAATTGGCCAAATATTATACTTTACCTTTTTTCCTTTTATTCAAAAACTATAAATTTACGAATGAAACATCATAGAATAAATTATTTTTATTTATCTTTTCTCTATCTCTCCATACATGACTCAATATTCAGTTGCCTGGTGTCATTTTCGGTATTTTTGCTGTAGTTCACACAACATTCCTACCCCAAATCTATTATCGTATTCGAAAAAGACGTTTAATTTTAAGATAATTTTCTTCTACAGCATTACATTACCGTCTCAAACTTATAATAACGGAGATAGTGCATCCAAATCTTTTTCTATTTAATTCCATTAATCTTCCCTTCATAAATCGTCATGCACATGCGTTCCTATACACGTCACGCGGCCAATCAAAAGCGTTCTTTTTTTTTTTGCCACCAATTAACATGAATTGTGGTTACTGCTTATAGAATTTGTGGTATTTTTTGCCCAATCAGATTCGATTGTGATTTTGGGTCTCTCACGCTTCGAAATTCAAATTATTTCTGACCATGAAAGTCTTCGATGGGTGTCACTTCAATTATATGAATAAAAAACGAACAAGCAATAGCATTTTTTAGATCTCGTGGTGTTCGGTTCACCTCCCAAGCCTACTCGAATTTTGGATTCTAATTCAAAATAAGGTAAGAAATAACAGTGATTCCCTCTTATGGTGAGTCTAGTTACGTAAAAACACTGTGAGAGTTGAGTTAGGTTAGGTTAGGTTAGGTCAGGATAGGTTAGGGTAGCTCAGGTTAGCTCAGGTTAGGTTAGATTAGATTATCCAAAAAAAGGTTAGGTTTATATGATTTTCTCGTGTTTTTTGGTGTGTTTTGAATTCAGTTGGCCATGATTTTTGTCAGAAAATGCTCGATTCTTTCCCCCACCCACAACCCGGTTCCCAACAGGATCCCCTATCTTGCTGGGGGTAGAAGGGGGTGATAACTAAAAAACAGCCAATTTCCAAGAGGTAATAAAGGTCAGATCTAATCAAAACACACAAAAAACACTAGAAAAACATACAGTAGGGTCAATTTATAGTATCACACGGGTCTTTATTTCACTATTAAAAATAGGTTTTTCCCATGTATTTTGATGAGTATCGAACGAATTTGATATTCATTTCCACCCGAAATCACTCATTTTTTTAGATCTCCTCACTCCCTCCCCCCCCCACCCAACAATCATAATGGAAAAGTTACATTTTTTTTAAATAAATAACAAATTATATTACCAACCAACCAAGAAAACCTAACCTAACCCCCCTTCGGAGGCCTGGAGCGATGCGTGAGCAGGGGGTCAGACCACCTCCGCCATAAGTAAACAAATCACGGCGACACATGACTGAGTGAAAGTAATAATCTTGAAAATTTAATATCTCGGTTATCCTTAATTTCCGGTGGAAATATCAAGGAGGAAAGATGTCTTAGAATTGTGTAAACATTACGAGATACATATTTTTAATACGGAAATAAAAACCGGTGTGATTCTAAAAATTTACCAAACATAGTTTTGACTGGTATTTTTGAGTTTACACATTCCACATTCCTACCACTAATCTATTATCATATTCTAATAAGACGTCTAATTATAAGATCATTTTTATCTATTACATTACTGTCGCAAATGTATAATAATGGAGATAGCATATCCAAAATGTTCTCTATTTTCTTCCATCAATCTTCCGCTATTATCGCCTACCTCACCTCTCACACTGCGTGTCTCCTGCGTATTTCCTTCATAAATCATCACGCGCATGCGTTCCCGCACACGTCACGCGACCAATCAAAAGCGTTTTTTGTTTGGCAACCAATTAAAATAATTTGTGGTTTAATTTGCAGAATTTTTGGCCCAATCAAAATCGAATTTTATTTTGAGTCTCTCATATTTCGAAATTCAAATTCATTTCCGACCATGGAAGTCTGCGATGGGTGTCACCTCAATTATATGGAGCTGATTGAGAGTTTTTGGGAAAAAACGAAGAAACTATAGCATTTTTTCAATCGCATGGTGTTCTTCCAACCAGAGTAAAGTGTACTAAGTGTAAGACAATGTAAATATCGGAAAGACCAACATATGTGACGTTGGGTAAGAATCTCAGAATCCAACGACGAACAAGAACCAGGCCAATAAGGTAAGAAATAGGTGATTCCATCATATGGTGAGAGTCAGTTAGGTTAGGTTAGGATTGGTTTTTGTTTTTCTAGTGTGTTTTGGTGTATTTTTTATTCGCTTAGCCATTATTTTTTTTTCGAAAAACGTCCTACGAAAAAAAATCGATAAAAAAACCCGGCCAATTTCCGACGGTAATGAAGGTCATACTCGGTCTAAACACACACACATACACTAGGAAAATATATTGACTTTCTAACAGAGTTGTGTGAACTACTATAAATTTACCTACTTTTCTAAACATTGACCAAAACATTTTCTTGTGCAAATGTTTCGTTTTGTGTTAAGACATTAGCAAGAGCAGTCACACTAGAGGAGCTCCAAGACTCCTCATAAACGACCAGACGTGACCAACAAATTCTAATACGTTCTTTTACAGTGTAACACCCTGACTGGTTAGTGAGCTGAATATTATAAGGATGAAGAAGATAAAATCAAATAAAAATAGACTCGGCACCTACCTGTCCTGAACCTTCTACAGTAGTTGCTTATCAACCTACGTATATATCTTATCCACCAGTCAATATATATCTCGAAAAGTTTTTATAATGTATGACCGCAGACTGATGTTAGATAGTCCATGAAATAAATGTAACCTTTATAATTTATTTCATACACAAATAAAGATATACACTGTAGTTCCCGCCAGTGTTTAATGCACAACACCTGACGTCACCAATGATGGAATACGACTACGAGGTCCCTAAAATGTAGAGCCTAAATGAATTTAATATCAAATTATATTCATGTTCTCCTAATAATTCTCTCATATGTAAATTAATGTTTCTAGTTAAGATTGGTTTTACTGACGTTCAATTTCTTATAGAAAGAGTTAGTATTTTGCTATTTGGACTTTAGATATAGGGTACGTTAGTGTGGGGTATGAGATGTTTGGTTCACACTCAGGATGGGATGGAGAAAGGAAACTCACAATGTGCTCTCTATATACATGTTATATTGGATGTACAATGCAGCTTGGTGCTGGGAAGGCAGCATGGTTACAAGCGTGATGTAGAGAGAGCTGGTTGGTGAGGATGCTCACAGGAGGACAGCTTGTGGGTCGCCATGCTCGCTGTGGGAGCGAGGGCCGCCAGGCAGGCGGAGGAGGATGTGTTGCTGGCTGGTTGGTGTAGGTAGAGAGAGATCACCACGAGGTCAGGTCTTAAATAGCGGGGGTAGGCGTGGCTTAGTAGTTGACCCCCGCTCCGTGATGTATGGCGGTGTAGGAATTCGTGGTATTATGTTGTCTAGCACTCAGGATGGATGGAAACTCTAAGGTGGTTTTCTTGTATAATATAAGTTATATGATAGACAGTCTGGTGCTGGAGGTGCCGTGTGGTGAGGAGCTGCTCAGTAGAGACGTTTGGTGAGTAGCGTGTTGAAGGAGGTAGATGTGCAGGAGCTTCGTTAGAGAAGATGTTGCCTGTTGCTGGCCTCCTGGTTGAATGAATGCTGACAGCGTAGAGCTTGCTGGAGGAGGTGTTGCTTCTTCAAGAAGAGAGACCAGAATGAGAAAGCTGGTTGGTGAGGAAGCTCAGAGAAGGACAGCTGGTGGGTCGGCATGCTCGCTGGCAGGAGCGAGGACCGCCAGGCAGGCGGAGGAGAGGCGAGGGCCGCCAGGCAGCGGCGGAGGAGGAGGTGTTGCTTGTTCAGGAAGAGAGGCTAGAATGAATCTCAATGGAGAGACAGAGCTTATATACCCAGCAGCCGTGAGTCCTCTATGAGTCATGTTGGGAAAACCCGAGAAAGTCGCCGGTCTTTTGGTTCGGTTGCTAAGATACGGTAACATCTGTGTCGCCGCTCGCTTGGTTGCTAGGATACGGCGGCGCATCGGAATGCCGATACGCAGTTGTAGGGGAGAAGTCCACTACAGCGGCGCTGGTTGACCCAGACCACGAGGCATACACTGGGGAATTGGTGGGGTCGGCTAGGCAGCGACAAACAGCGTTTGTAGGGGAGAAATCCACTACAATACTCCCCCTTCCCTCCAGGCAGTGTAGGAGACTTGTTGTCTGCAGGGTTGCTTAGCACATGTGAGGCAGAACGGGCGGTGCATGCCTCATGTGAGACAACGGCGATGACGTGGATGAGCCGGTCGCTGGGGACAACTGTCTAGATACACAACATCTGTGGGAGTAGAGAGGGAGAATAAGGGTGTGTGGAGGCGATGAATGTTGTGCTTCCCTCACGGCAGGTACAGAGTCGTCAGATGTGCCTGCTGGGGTGTGTGGGCCTGGGTCAGGAGCAGGGGCTGCGTCAGCGGATGAGGGCTCGTGACAGCAGCTGGGTCCACGACAGCAGCAGGGTGCAGGACATTAGCAGGGAGTACCTGAGGGAGAAAAGAGGGGTGTGTGGGTCCGCACTCAGGAACAGAGGCCACATCAGGGGCGGCAGGGGTTACTGCTGGGCCGGGGTCGGCGTCTGAGGCAGGACGGGTGTGCTGGGGTCGGAAGAGGAGCGACTGTCTGCTTAGAGTAGCAGAGCTGCTCTAGGGTGTCTGACCTGCGGTGTAGAGACAGTAGCTGTAGAGCCGATGAGAGCTGCTTCTGGGTGGATAAGCCAGTCTTCCATGTTGCTTGAAGACTGGGAGCGTGATCAGTTTCTCCTCCATCCTGTGTGAGTGCGAATCTCCGGGAGTCACCATTTGTGGGGTATGGGTTGTTTGGTCCACACTCAGGATGGGTTGGAGAAAGGAAACTCACAATGTGCTCTCTATATACATGTTGTATTGGATGTACAATGCAGCTTGGTGCTGGGAAGCCAGCATGGTTACAAGCGTGATGTAGAGAGAGCTGGTTGGTGAGAGTGCTCACAGGAGGACAGCTTGTGGGTCGCCATGCTCGCCGGCGGGAGCGAGGACCGCCAGGCAGGCGGAGGAGGAGGACCGCCAGGCAGTGGCGGAGGAGGAGGTGTTGCTGGCTGCGGCTGTAGGTAGAAAGAGAGGCAGATCACCACGAGGTCAGGTCTTAAATAGCGGGGGTAGGCGTGGCTTAGTAGTTGACCCCCGCTCCGTGATGTATGGCGGCACTGGTTGACCCAGACCACGAGGCATACACTGGGGAATTGGTGGGGTCGGCTAGGCAGCGACAAACAGCGTTTGTAGGGGAGAAATCCACTACATTAGTCATTACCTTCGGGTTTGGGTCCTCTCGTACCCAAGATAAACCGTCCTAAAAAAAGCCAACTCGTACCCAAGACAACTTCTACCAAGACAACTCGTACCCAACTCACGAGATAAGTCGTACCCAAGATTACTTACACCCAATTCAAGAGATAATCCATACCTATTAGTATATATACTGTGGGGTATGGTTTGTTTGGTGTTCAAAAATTACGATGTGCTCTCTGTATACATGTTGTATTGGATGTACAATGCAGCTTGGTGCTGGGAAGGCAGCGTGGTTACAAGCGTGATGTAGAGAGAGCTGATTGGTGAGGATGCTCAGAGGAGGACCAGCCTGTGGGTCGCCATGCTCGCCAGCGGGAGCGAGGACCGCCAGGCAGGCGGAGGAGGAGGAGGTGTTGCTGGCTGGTTGGTGTAGGAAGAAAAGAGGGCGATCACGACGAGGTCAGGTCTTAAATAGCGGGGGTTGGCGTGGCTTAGTAGTTGACCCCCGCTCTGTGGGCGGCGCTGGTTGACCTAGACCACGAGGCATACACTGCGGAATTCGTGGGGTCGGCTATGCTGTACTGCGCACATCATTGTCATCCCTAAGAATCCCATCTAATTCATATTACGCTACATAACATTCAAATGCACCGCGCTTGTAGAACCTCAGAAAACGGGAAACATTGAGAAAGGATTACTCACATACTCAATATTACTAGACCATGTGTTGTATTGTACCCAGGTACAGTTATATCATATCAAGTGTATGCAGTCATAGCATTAAGGATCACTCAGGGTAGGCATAAGATGAATGTTAAAGTCCAGTTGAGCCAGACTAGTGTACTGTAAGACTAAGTGTGGATCAGGGTTTGAAGGTCCTACTATTTACGTCTGTGAGCGTGTAGCGAACATAACTCCAACAGATATCATATGAAAATACATGAGAACAATGATCTGGAAAAAGGATAAATGTATCAGAACTATGTGAGGTGTTGACAGTGATCTAGAAACTATACTGGAAAGGAAATATCGTGTATGCGTCGGTATGAATTTAATACACCTCGTAGCCTCACGTGACATATACCCACGACAGGTACAGTGATCAGAGAATCTTATGTCTGTGTTCAAATAGTGCAATGTGTGAGAGGAGGATCCCTCATTACAGTTTTTAAGTGAAGTTGATACACCCCCGCCATGAACATTCGGCCTTTGTTTCAAGGCGCGTCATGTACCCGCCTCAGATGCCCCGTTGATATTATAATCCCAGGCATTTACCCACAATTTAAAAGTATACTGCCAGATCTGGGGTCACTAAATCTAAGGGGATAACTTAACTCTAATCTTAATTCCTAAGGGTCGCTGCCACCAGACCCCCTCTGGACAGCATGTAGCTCATTAGGTAGCGGGCAGAGTAGACTAGGCATTGGGTTAGGTTTTCCATTGACCAGATCGATAAGGGTAAAGAAGGGTGAAACCATAACATGTCTTAATTGATTTATTCCTTTTAAAACATACTGGTAAAAAACATATACATGAATTGGCCTTCCTCAGAAGAACAACGGAAATGTGGTTACCCAGATGGGCCCCAGACTCTTACATTGATGGCGTGTCATCCACCTACTTATTGCATAACAATCTGTGACCACCGTACCTCGGTCGTTCCTTCTTACAATATCCCTTAACACATCAGACTGCTCCACCTGTGTGGAATATAGCACCATCGGTTATCATACATAGTAGCACCATCTCAACACACCTGTTACACTCCATACCTGCAAGTATGTGACTCCTTGTGACTTTTAGGTATACACAACGGGCACCTCGTTCGCACACCGCCCTCGGTGGGTAAAGACGAGCGCTTCACCTAGAGACATACCAGCACTATTTCTACGCCTGGTATTATAGGTCGCTCCAAGTGACGACCGCAGTTTCTCACGGTCTCCTTAGTTGTGACTATTCATTTGGAGTGGTGCGCTGGAAATCCACAGGTTCACAGTGGACTGGCATAGCGGGGAGTCGTCCCCACCTGTTGTGACGCTCAAAGGGACAATGGCGGCCGGGCGGCAAGGTACTCCGACCACATGGCACCTGAGGTGACGGTAGAACGGAGAAGACTGAGCAATAATGCCTGACGGGCGGTTATTCCACCCCTTAACACATTCCTATCACACTTATATATCCGGCAAAGCTTTAAACTGTAGTAACTTCTATTTATCAACCTTAATTATAGGGCGGGATATAGCCAGCTAGGACACTGACCTGAGGTGACGGTAGAATGGAGAAGACTGAGGCCAGTGCCCCGCTGCTCCCCGTCACATAGGCCTACAGTTTCCAATCCTCAATTTACACTTTTGTTTCTTATGGTTCTCACCTGAACACTTTTCGGTATATTGTCACTCATGTCTTATAAACACATATTTTAATCCTAAATTACACACTAAGGTAAGGTCTTGGTTTGCTAGTGCTTGGGTAAATGCCTGGGGTTATAATATCAACGTGGCATCCAAGGCGGGTACATGACGCACCTTGAAACAAAGGCTGAATGTTCATGGCGGGGGTGTATCACCTTCACTTAAAAC